AGAAGCAACACTGATACAATCTACAATGTCACATGAAGAAAGACAGTCAGAACCTGCTGAAATTATTTCAGTAAATACAGTGTCAGCCGTTACACCTGAACCAGTGTCGCCAACCACATCAAGACAAGTGAAAGCAATCGCAACAAAGATTCCACAAACTGAATGTACAACAGAAATTGAACAAACACCTGAAGAAACAACACAGACAAAATCTACAATATTTCATGAAGAAACACAGTCAGAACCTGCTGAAATACTTTCATTAACTACTGAATCAACCATCATACATGAACCGGTAACAGAAACTCAATCTACTACAGAAATCAATCAACAAACACCTGAAAAAGCAACACTGATACAATCTACAATGTCATATGAAAAAAGACAATCTGAACCTGTTGAAATTATTTCAGTAAATACTATGTCAACCATCAAACACGAACCAGTAACACCAACCGCCTCTACAAAATACAAAGAAAATGTTACAGTGACGAGACAAGTGAAAACAATAGCAACTGACACTCCTGAAACTGAATGTACAACAAAAATTGATCAACAAACACCCGAAGAAACAACATCACAGACTAAATCTACAATGTTTCATGAAGAAAGACAGTCAGAACCCGCAAAAATTGTTTCAGTGAATAATGAGTCATCCACCACACATGAATTAGTAACAGAAACTCAATCTACAACAGAAATTAAACAACAAACACCAGAAGAAACACCACGGGCACAATCTACAATGTCACATGAAGAAAGACAGTCAGAACCTGCTGAATTTATTTCATTGAATACTGAGTCAACCATAACACATGAACAAGTAACACCAACCCCATCCGCAAAATACACAGAATATTTTACAGTGATGGGAAATTTGACAGCAATGGCAACAGACACTCCTGAAACTGAATGTACAACAGAAATTGAACAGGAAACACCTAAAGAAACAACATCACTAACAAAATATACCATGTTTAATGAAGAAAGACGGTCAAAACCTGCTGAAATTCTATCAGTAAATACTGAGTCAACCACTAAACATGAACCAGTAACAGAAACTCAATCTACATTAGAAATTAAACAACCAACACCAGAAGAAACACCAGTGATAGAATCTACAATGTCACACAAAGAAAGACAGTCAGAACCTGCTAAAATTATTTCAGTAAATACTGAGTCAACCATCACACACGAACCAGTAACACTAACCACATCGAGAAAATATAAAGAAAATATTACAGTGACAAGACAAGTGACAACAATGGCAACAGAAACTCCTGAAACAGAATGTACAACAGAAATTGAACAAGCACCTGAAGAAACAACATCAATGTTAAAATCTACATCATATGAGAAAAGATCGTCAGAACCTGCTGAAACTGAATGTACAACAGAAATTGAATTACAAACACCTGAAGAAACAACATCAATAGAGAGACCAACTAAATCACTAACAACCAATGAAAAAGAAGGGCCTATCCTTTCAGATGGAGATGGTTGCTTTGGACTGATTCATCGCACCAACTCTGGGCTGAAAAGATGTCAAGAGAAGATGATAAAAATTAAAAATTCACATTCACAAAGTCTTTTTACTCAAGCTACCAATGAATTATTTAAACCAACACCACCCAGCAAAGTTGCAGATGCTTTAACTAAAGAGGACCGAATAATGACAACAGATCTTCCTGAAACTGAATGTACAACAGAAATCGAGTTACCAACACCTGAAGACAGAATATCAATAGAAAAATCAACTCAGTCACAACGAAACAAAGAAACAGAAGGGTCTGAGCAGTCAAATGAAGACGGTTGCTTTGGATTGATTCATCGCACCAACTCTGGACTCAAAAGATGCCATGAGAAGATGATCAAAAACTCACGCTCAGAAAGTCTTTCAACTCAAGATACAAGGATATTACTCATACCAACCACTCCCAGAAAACTGGCAGATGGTTTAACTGAACAGGACAGAATGATGACTACAGATCTTCCTGAAACAGAATGTACAACAGAAATCGAAATACAAGAGGACAGAACATCAAAAGGGGAAAGAGCAACATCTGAAGAAAAACAGTCAGAAATAGGGACCCCTGAAACTGAATGTACAACAGAAATTGAGTTACAAATGCCAGAAGAAACAACATCAGTAGGGAGGCCTACTAAATCACCAACAACCAAAGCAACAGAAGGGTCTGAGCTTTCGGATGGGGATGGTTGCTTTGGGCTCATTCATCGCACCAACTCTGGGCTCAAAAGATGTCAGGAGAAGATGATAAAAAATAAAAATTTACTAAGTCTTTCAACTCAAGATACCAATGGATTATTTACACCAACACAACCCAACAAAGTTCCAGATGGTTTAACTGAGCAGGACAAAATGATGACTACAGATCTTCCTGAAACAGAATGTACAACAGAAATCGAGATACAAGAAGACCAAACATCAATATTTGAAAGAGCAACCACATCTGAAGAAAAACAGTCAGAAACAGAGACCCCTGAAACAACTGAATGTACAACAGAAATTGATTTACAAACACCTGAAGAATCAACATTGATAGAGAGAGCAACTAAATCACCAACAACCAAAGAAACAGAAGGGTCAGAGCTTTCAGAGGAAGACGGTTGCTTTGGACTTATTCATCGCACCAACTCTGGGCTGAAGAGATGCCAGGAGAAGATGTCAAAAATTGAAAATTCACATTCACAAAGTCTTTTAACTCAAGCTACCAATGAACTATTTATAACAACACCACCCAGCAAAGTTGCAGATGCTTTAACTGAACAGGACAGAATAATGACAACAGAGGCTCCTGAAACGGAATGCACAACAGAAATCAAAATACAAGAGGACAGAACATCAATAGAGGAAAGAGCAACCACATCTGGAGAAAAACAGTCAGAAACTGCTAACACAATTTTAGAAAATATTAAAGCAACAGTTTCAAATGAACCAGTGCAACTAACCACGTCTTCAAAATATGCAGAAGATTTTACAGTGTCGAGACAAGAGACAGAAATGACAACAGAGGCTCCTGAAACGGAATGTACAACAGAAATCGAAATACAAGAGGACAGAACATCAATAGAGGGAAGAGCAACCACATCTAGAGAAAAACAGTCAGAAACTGCTAACACAATTTTGGAAAATATTAAAGCAACAGTTTCTAATGAACCAGTGCAACTAACCACGTCCACAAAATATGCAGAAGATTTTACAGTGTCGAGACAAGAGACAGAAATGACAACAGAGGCTCCTGAAACAGAATGTACAACAGAAATTGAGATACTGGTACAAGAAGACAGATCATCATTCGAGGGAACTACAACTACATCTAAAGAAAAATATTCAAATGGCAAGTCAGCAGTCACTAACGAACCACTCACACCACCCAAATCTGCAAAATATGTAGAAGATTTCATAGTGACGAGACAAGAGACAATAACGACAACAGAGACTGGTGAAACAGAGTGTACAACAGAAATTGAGCTACAAATCCTTGAAGAAACAACATCATCAAGCAAAGAAAGTGAAGACTCTGGGGTTTTGGGTGGTTGCATTGGTCTAATTCATCGCTCCACCAGTGGGTTGAAAAGATGCCAAGAGAAGATGATAAAAATTCAATTACTGTACAGTTCAACACCAAGTCCACAAGAGCCCGCAACTATGATATATAAGCAACAAACATCAACTCAGAATAATTCAAAACAAGCTGCCCAAGATGAGAATGACCATTTCTACTTTTTTAATGGAAAGTTAAAAAGAGTTGGAAATCATGGTTCGAGACATGACAACAACACTTACACTCACCAGACTACGACACAACCATAGTTGAACCACAGTGACAGACGAGTCCTCGAATTGATCCTGTGGGCCAACCTGAACACCTGCCAGTGTCCTACTCACCTGCAGTTCTCCACGATGGACGTCCAGCGTTCTCCAGTCCCCTGCGCCTAGACTACAGCTCCACACAGGAAGTTTGGCCAGAGAAGAAATGGTTGTGCCTAACTGAGCCTGGTTTCTGTATTTGGACTTTCAGCAGTGAAATTTAAACCACACTGAACTGAACTAAACTGAAATTCAACTCTAAAAACTGGACTGACACTAATTCAATTTACTAGAATGTCTATGTTAAGCTGCTTTGACACAATACACATTGAAAAAGGGCTATAGAAATAAACATGAATTGAATTGTAAGCACAATACATAGAAGAAGAAGAAGGATTTTAAATAACAAGAATTTTCTAAGAAAGAATATGTTTTGTATTTTTGTCATTATTGACATGGGCTTTTAAATAAATTAAAAATCAACCACCCATGAATATATTTAATTTAGATCAAAATGAACACAGCTGAGATTTAGAAGAGACCGAGAAGCACAGCTTGTTAACATATGTATTTATAACTGTAAATATAATTCTAAAGTATATTTATTGTTGCTTTTTAAGAATTGCTTTCTGTAATTTAAGTAAAAACAACTGTTAATTTATTAATTAACAGAGCTGCATTACTCTATATAAATTGCTAAATTTCTTTTTTTTTTTTTTTTTGACCAATAACATAATAACAGTTCCAAAACTGTTTGTATAAGGATGCAATTGAAGAACCATTTTTGTAACATAAAATGAACCTTTCAAACTGTTATCAAATAAACATGTATTTATAAGTGTGAAGAACATCTTTAATAATCTTAAGAACCTTTTGTGGAATGCAACAGTTTCAAATTTCCTTGTGGAACCGTCAATACCATATAAGACAGTCAGACAGACATGATAGACAGACATGATGATAGATAGATAGATAGATAGATAGATAGATAGATAGATAGATAGATAGATAGATAGATAGATAGATAGATAGATAGATAGATAGATAGATAGATAGATAGATAGATAGATAGATGGATAAAACGTCACAGCTCAAGGGGGTGTTTCTGCGGCTCTGTCACCTCTTTACTATATGTTTGAGTGTTGGATTCAGTGTTGCTCCGTATTGGGGGAGGAAACTTGAGTTCAAGGAAATCCATAAATACAACGCGCTTGTAACACTAGCTGTGTTGGGAAGCAGAATATGGTTTCCTAAATGTCACAAAGCCGTTTATTTGAATGATAAAGCGAGAAGAAGTTTGACTGACCGTCGGAGAAACTTTGAGAGAATAACGAGCGCCGGATCACACCACAGTAAGTGCGCGCTTTTTTTGCTTTTTATTTTTTGGAATGGCCATTATTTAGATTACATGCTAAAAGAATATGTGGGTAATCTATTAGTTCACGTAATAGCCTAACATCTCGTGTCACGTTTTTAGATGTGTGGATGAAACCGGTGTGACTGAATTCGAAATATTAATTGCTAATGATTTTACCTGCCGTCCGTAACATGTCAAGCTTATATCCACCTTTGTAAACATCCTAAATTAACGCAACAACAAATAAGCCGATTAACATTTTTTGACACAAAAGTGCCATCTTAAAGTAGCCAGCTAATTATGTTGTAAAGACACTTTCATTTACATTTAATTAACAAATTTACATCATTGTTGATTGAGGAGCAATATTGCAATCGATGTTTTGTTCTCTAGATTAGGCAATCTATTAATTTTTTATTAAATAGTGATTTTTTTTCCTCAGAATTTTCTATGATTTAAATGTTTACATATGACCAAAACAAGTAAATATTTCATATACATATTTGATTATATAGGATATTTCAAGTGAATGTTACATTAATCTCACTCTGCAAGAGATATCTTCACAGTTTTACATTTAAATATAATTAATAATTAATTAATAATTACAGAATTATGCACATGGGAAAGAATTTTCCCCCAAAATGAAAAGTATACAATGAAATTTTGTGTTGGGGCAAGATTTAAAATGCTGTATAAAAGAATATTTAAAAACAAACCCATACCATACAAAATGTTGATTTTAAATGTGTACAACTATCCTCAGTCTCTTTTAATATATGAATTTAATGTACTATTGTTTATATTATATATAGTAATAAAACATTGAGAAAAAAAGCTGTTTGTTCATTTTTCAGGATATTGCAAGATTAAAAGACAAATACTGGCTGAACTCAAACAAACATAGAAAAATCAATACAATCACAGAAACCTGGACTGTGAAGATGACAAAGGATCATGAAACAAATGGGTCACAAGATAATGCGTGTCAAGCATTGCATCAAGAATGAACTGTAACAGCTAAAGGATAAACAAAGAGTGAACAGCGGTGCATCATAATGCTGGCATCAGCCAACATTTAACTGAAGATGGTTTTGTCAAGCAGAGGATCAGTCTGTCAATAAGCACCATGGGGATTGTCCCAACTGGCTTAAAATCAATGCCTGCAAGTATGTCCATAAGTATGTGATGAAGGCATGGAAGCTTTTATCAACAACAAGGAACAAACCTGAACAAATGCCCTTAAGACATCATTTTCAAAGAGGTGCAGATCAATTTAGCACACACAACTGTTCATTAGTGCAGACAAAGCAGACTCTGTGAGAGAAACTATACAGTTCAAAAGTCACTGGAAATCTCAGATCCTCAAAAACCATCAATATGAACCTGACCTCCCATCTTCTGGACCTCATGCTAAAGGCTTCAAATCTTTCTCGCTGGCAGTTCATCCAGGATTTCTCTATTCCTCCGCTGATCTCCATTCCCAGACTTCCTAGCAGTTTGCTTCCGGTTTTTGGCCTGCTTTACGTGCTCATCTTTGGGCTTGCGGTGGTGGGCAACGGGGCGGTGCTGGTTATTTTATGTCGCAGGAAGGCTTTAGAGTCCCCCAGCACCTTTTTCATTTGCTCACTGGCGCTCAGTGATCTCCTGATATCCATAGTGTGTGTTCCTGCCACCCTGCTGCAGCACTTCTTCACAAACTGGTTGGCTGGTAAGTTTGGCTAGTTTCTCTGTTTATGAAATTTCACAATTATATCTATTTGGCCATCCTGCTTTATTAGTACAGTCTAAAAAAAATACTGGGTTGTATTAATATTGTCAAATATGGACAATGTGTGTGTGTGTGTTTTGTGCTATCTTTTAAATAAACTTTAAACCCATCTAAGATTGTTAATATTTGACCCTGCGTAAAATAAAAAAGCAATCCGGCATTTTTTAGAATAAAGCCAAATTCAGTCTCAATTTTATGAGGGAAAGAAAGTACAGTAATTTAAAAAGTGTTAAAGAGCAAGGACACTTAAGAAGATATATATTCATTTATCACAGTTAATACATTACTGTAATTTCAGTGCTCATGAATTGTACAGTTTGGTTCAAAGTGTAAAGTTTTTATGCTTTCTACATTTCAAAACTTTGTGAACTTCAGACATTCTAAGACATCTCAAAGTATACACACACACACAATGGGCATAATATAAATATGCAAATTTATATTTGTTTTAATAAAAACAAGGTTAGATTTGTCCACCTGTCCGGTTTTGGAGATGTTTGCATCACCATATGGGGTATAAGAATAGAATATGTGTTTGGATATAACTCAGTTTTTTTTTCACACGTTGTTATTATTGTTAATTTATTTGTTTTTTGGAAATTAGAACTGAATTTAGAAATAGTTTTTAAACAAATCTTTGCAATTAACAAACGCCATTAAATATGTAGGCTAATGAATGTCTTCAGTGAAGTGCTTCCTCATCCACAAAAGTAAAGTAGTAAACAGTACAAGTAAAGAGGCCAAATGGAGAAGGCTTGTTGTTTTTCACGCAGATGGTCTGTTAAACTGTTTTCTTGCTAGTAAATCATTCAGTTTTTCCACTTTCAAAGTTCACCATATAAATACAAATGCATCATGGCATGACACAAAAAACTCTTAAAGAGAATAGGAGATAAGACTCTGATTGGTTTCATTCAAATTATGCTCAAAACACACCAATAACTCATTAAGAGAATAAGTACAACCCTGTTAGACCATGTGCCATGGAGCAAACCATATTTTTCTATCCTTAAAATAGAATAAGTGGATTTGGACACACACTCAATGCTTTTGTACCATGCGATTTAGACTTTGCGCCTAGATCGTTAAAATAGAACCCAATATGTTTAATTCCATTTTCTTTAGCCTTTTTTAAAAGTATAATAAACAGCGACCTTCCTGCTGTGAGGCGATCGTGCTACCCACTGCGCCACCATGACGCCCCATGATATAGTAACAATAATCAATAATAATGGTTCAGGACAAATAATAATAATAATTGATCATAGCAGCATCAAATCTTTATATTGGAAAAATCACGTGACTGAAGACTGGCATTCTCATGAACATTTATTCAAAGAGAAAACAGTTTTTGAAAAAAACTAAATGTACATTTTCCTAAATGTAAAGCCACTAAATTACTAACATTTTGATAATTCACCTCAACTTGAAAATCCTGTCATCATTTACTCACCCACAATCTCTAAAACCTACGAGTGTCTTTTGTGACTATTTGACCACACTGTAGATGTAGTCATATTCGTTCAGTGTTGTACAGGACCCCATTAGCTAACATTAGTTTTCTAAACAAATAACTGGAACCACATGAGAATATACTGTATATAAATTAATTAGAGTTGACAAACTTAAGCCTTTATCACAGACCAGTACCATAGTAGCTTAAAAAGTTGTACACTTACATAGTGTAATATATAATTTCTCATGACAGGCATCATTCTAGATATTATTCTGCAGTCAAGCATTTAATAAGACCTGTACATATATTTTATTTACCCTTGGGTGGTTTTTCTTTACCTGAAATTTTTTGATGACTCTTAACATTAACAGACATCCTACAGATGGAGTTCTTTGTCCACAATTAAGCTATTATTTTGATGCAATAAATACAAAAGCATCAAGTCATTGATTCGTGACCAACTCATTACTAGATTTTTGTGTGTAGTATTGTTTCATGACACCTTCATTACTTGTAACACGTCCACTCGAATTAGAGCTTCAGATATCTTTCAGACAATGAGATGAAAGGTCACCATTGATTAAAAGAGATCTTATCCCCATGATAGAATTGTAAATGAGCACTTTACGTGGCTGGAAGTTCACTCCTGGAAGCCTATTAACAAAAATAATAACATTTGTGCAAATAACGTTTTAATGTGCTTGGGTTGCTGTAGAAACAGTGTTCAGTTATTTTTTTTTTATATGTTAAGTCTCTCATGCTAATCAAGGCTGAATTTATTGGATCAAATACAGTAAAACAGCAATATTAAGAAGTATTTTATAATCTAAAATGTTAATATTTAAAACATATAAATTCAAAACTAAATTTTAAGCATTGCTCCAGTCTTCAGTGTCACACGATCCTTCAGAAACCATTCAACTATTATCATTTGGTGGCCTAGAAAGATTCCTTATCATTGTTGAAAAAAAAAGATGCTTAATATTTTGATGGATTAACATTTTGTGGGGCTTAACGTTCTCTTTTTTAACAAAAGTATTCTACTGAATCAATAATAAAATCTTACCTTTCTGTTGGTTTGTACGGTATAAGTTCTCAAAACTCAGCCCTGGAGGTCCGGTGTCCAGCAGATTTTAGCTCATCTCAACACACCTGCAACTATGTTTCTAGAAAGCCTAAAGCTGCGGTCACACTAGAGTTCGTGTGTGCGAAATTCTGTTGTATGGCGCTGCCAAAAGGGGCGGGATTAAACAAGATGATTAGACATTAAAAAAGCAAGTGATTTGCTCCATGTTTTAAATTCCTGTTCAGAGAGGTCATGTTTTGATTCGCGATTGGTCTCACGCAGTCATGTGATGTGATTTCGCAGATCAGAGTTTACCAAGCTTTCACTTTGCACCGCAGCAACCTGCGAAACTTGATGCATGACCTTGCGTTTCTGGTCTGACGCATTCCTGTGCGTATGAATGGAAGTCTATGGGGAAAAAAAGTCAAGTGTGAGCGCAGCTTAAGAGCCTGCTTAGCTAGCCCAGGTGTGTCTGATTGAATTTGGAACTTAACTTTGCAGGACTCCGGCCCTCCAGAACAGAGTTTGGACATCCCTGGCCTAGTAATAGCTTGATTAGCCAGACCAGGTGTGTCTGATTGGGGTTGGAACTAAAATCTGCAGGACACCGAACCTCTAGGACCGAGATTAAGAACCCCCTTTTGTTGGGTGCTGAAATACAAAAGGGAAAATAGTGTACAGGTAGTCTTGACGCAATTTTTACTGAAGCAGGAAGATGGGGCAGCTCCTCCCCTTTTTAAAAATAGCCAATAAAGAAGGGCCTGCGGGCCAAAGTTGACCCATGGTAACAACCGAAAAGTGAGGGAGAATGATGGGGAGGTGTTTATGTGAATGCCTTTAACAGTGATCATAATTTTAAATTTAGCATAACCTTTTGTTTATTTGTTTTATTGCTGAGCTACAAAAAGCCAACTGGAAGTGGCTGTGTAAAACATATGCTGAATAAGTTGTCGGTTCATTCCGTTGTGACAATCCCTGATATTAAGGGACTAAGCCGAAAAGAAAATGAATGAATGAAGGAATGAATGAATGAATAATGTAAAGTATTGTTTTCTAGTTATTTTAAAATATTACCAAATAAAGTAGAACATTACCCATGGCATATTTAATATATACGGTTTGATATATATTCGGCCCACACCCCTCAATCAAGTTTTCTTTTTGTCCCTTTATGGAAAAAAGTTTGGGCACTGCTGGTAGAGAGGAAATAGATCAAATGCAAGTGGAAAAAATTCTGATGGAATGTAGAAATTCATTTCTCATCTTTCAAAAATCATTGTTATAATTTTGAACAAAATAATTATTACCAGTTTTAAAATTATGCAGCATGACAAGTTTTCACTGACTAAAACTAGACTAAAATGCAGAGATATTTAGTTAACTAAACTTTACTAAAACAGGACAAAGTTTGATCCACACTATAAAGTTAAAGGTGGCAAGTTGAAGTCGGAATTATGAGCCCTTTTGAATTATTAGACCTCCTCTATATTTGTCCCCAATATCTGTTGAACAGAAAAATAAAAAATGTCAACACATTTAAAAACATAACAGTTTTAATACCTAACAATAACTAATAATATGATTTATTTTATCTTTGCCATGATGACAGTATATAATATTTTACTGGATATTTTTCAAGACACCAGTATTCAGCTTAAAGTGACATTTAAAGATTTAATTAGGTTAACTAGGCTAGTTAGGACATTTAGGCAAGTCACGGTATAATGATAGTTTGTTCTGTAGACAATTGAAAAAAAAATGCTCAATGGGGCTAATAATAGTGACCTTAAAATGTTTTGTAAAGTGCTTTTATTCTAGCCAAAATAAAACAAATAATACTTTCTCTAGAAGAAATAATATTACAGGAAATACTGTGATAAATTCCTTGCTCTGTTAAACATCATTTGTAAAAAAAAAAAAAAAAAAAAAAAAAAATATATATATATATATATATATATATATATATATATATATATATATATATATATATTTAATCACAGCACAGCTAATAATTTTGCCTTCAACTGTATACTTCATAATACTAATAATAAAAATACTTCATGACTATAATAATAAGCATGATTTGTTGTTTGCCATCAGTATGTGTCATGTTATTAGGTGAAACTGACTTCACCTAATAACACGGTATAATGAAGGACATTCGTATCCATCATGCATCAGAAATGATGCAGCTGAGATTATGAAGGATCATTGAGCTGGAAAATAAGTATTAGGACTGCTCCTCGAGTCCATGGCAACACAAATTCAATCAGATCTCTCATAAATGTAGTAATTATGAGAAAATGTTGAGTCGGGGAAAAAGCCTATGATCCCACTCCACATTTCTGTTTTCATCATTGTCCATACACTTACAGCCCACACATTAGTTTTGCTCTAAAAGCCTCCTCAGTATTTCTGTCCTTATATATCTATCAGCAGTTAAAGAGATAGTTTGCCTAAAAATCATCCACCCAAGTTTCATCATGCTCCATTTGTTCCAAACATATATTTTATTATTCTCTCAAACACAAAGAAATATAAACAGAAGAATGCTGGGAAAAATATTTCCAACATACTTTAGAATATCTTGCTTTGTGTTCAACAGAAGTAAAAAAAAATCACAAAGGTTTAGAACCACTTAAGTGTGATTAATTGATGAAGAAATTGTCATTTTTTGATAAACCATTTTAATACTAATATTCCTTTTAATACTGATCTGGAGTTGGATCGTGCAGTACATTTATATTTTTCATCAGTTTATTGCATCAGTTCATTCACTGTTTTCTCTTTCATTTTCTGACTCACTCATTCCCTCACTGCTCCTTCACTTTTTTATTTTTGGATGCACAGGAGATTTTCTCTGCAAGTTAATACCATTCCTACAAGTGACGGCTATCTCGACCAGCATGCTCACCATGACGTGCATTGCCGTTGAGCGTTTCCAAGGAATCCTTTATCCTCTGCATGTGCGCAACAGCTACTTTCTCTGCCATGCCTTCAAGATGCTGGGTGAGTTATGGAGAGAACGATTAGAAGAGTTCAGTGCTTATTAAAAATTCAGTAAATACTGTAGCAGCCAAACTTCACATTGCTCATACATTACAATTCATAAAAACAATCATGCAACAAGATGACTTTTTAGTACATGTATTGAAAGTATAAAGATAGGGTGTCCACTTAACCATATTAAGTATAAAACTGTGTACTAATTTAATATAATATAATTTAATATAATATAATATATATAATTAATATGGCATAATATAACATAACATAATATAATATATATATATATATATATATATATATATATATATATATATTATATATATATATATATATATATATATATATATATATATATATATATAATTAATATAGCATAATAGAAGAGAAGAGAAGAGAAGAGAAGAGAATGTACTCACCAGGCACTGTATTAGGTGCTTTTATTGTCTAACTGCTCTTCAACCCAAATTTCTAATCAGCCAATCACATAACAGCAACTCAATGCATTTACGCATGTAGACATGGTCAAGACGATCTGCTGCAGTTCAAACTCAGCATCAGAATGGGGAAGAAAGGTGATTTAAGTGACTTTAAACTAGGCATGGTTGTTGGTGCAAGATGGGCTGGTCTGAGTATTTCAGAAACTGCTTATCTACTAGGATTTTCATGCACAACCATCTCTAGGGTTTACAGAGAATGGTCTGAAAAAGAGAAAATATCCAGTGAGTGGCAGTTATGTGGGCACAAATGCCTTGTTGATGCCAGAGGTCAGAAGGAAATGGCCAGACTGGTTTGAGCTTGTAGAAAGGCAACAGTATCTTAAATAACCACTCGTTACCACTGAGGTATGCAGAAGAGCATCTCTGAACAAACAACACTTCCAACCTTGAGGCGGATATTCTAAAGCAGCAAAAGACCACACTGGGGGCCACTTCTGTCAGCTAAGAACAGGAAACTGAAGCAACAATTTGCACAGGCTCACCTAGAAGACGGAAAAAAACATTGCCTGGTCTGATGAGTCTCGATTTCTGCTGCAACATTCAGATGGTAGGGTCAGAATTTGGTGTCAACAACATGAAAGCACGGATCCATCCTGCCTTGTATCAACAGTTCAGGATGGTTTGGGTGGTGTAATGGTGTGAGGGATATTTTCTTGGCACACTTTGGGCCCATTAGTACAAATTGAGCATTGTGTCAACGCCACAGCCTACCTGAGTATTGTTGCTGACCATGTCCATTCATTTATGACCACAGTGTCCCCATCTTCTGATGGCTACTTCCAGCAGAATAACGTGCCATGTCATAAAGCGTGAATCATCTCAGACTGGTTTCTCGAACATGACAATGAGTTCACTGTACTCAAATGGCCTCAACAGTCACCAGAGCTCAATCCAATAGAGCACCTTTGGGATGCGGTGGAATTGGAGATTCACATTATGGATGTGCAGCCGACAAATCTGCAGCAACTGCATGATGCTGTCATGTCAAAACAGACCAAAATCTCTGAGGAATATTTCCAGTACCTTGTCGAAGGATTGATGCAGTTCAGAAGCAAAAGGGGGTCCAAACCGGTACTAGTAAAGTGTACTTAATAAAGTGGCCACTGGGTGCAAATACCCTATTTTTAATCTTTTATAATAAAAAAGTAAATAACATTAATAATAATTTTTTTTAGATTATTTTTCAGACATAACTTAACAAATCATTTTTAAGTGCAACCTGAAAAAAGCAAACAGCACAATTTTTCCCCAGATTTTCTTACTGTTAAAAACTAGCGACACAATCTTGCTATTTTTTATCAGATTTACCAAGTACAATAAAAATTTATATTATCAGATCCAGTGGATTTATTTTGCAGTTCCTAAACTTTATTTTGAAAGCCCCGAGATGACAGTAATAATAAACTTCTAGAAAATATTACATATTTTTACCTTTCCTTTATATAATGAAAGAAATAAACGGTGCAACACCTACACTGAATCCCAATGACAAAGAAATTGCCATCGCAATGGAAACAGATCTACTTTTGACAATGTAGAAAACAAACATTGTGTATTTTTCCTCATTTTACAGTGACTGTGTGGATAGTTGCCCTGGCCATTGCTGCTCCCATGTGGTTTGTCCAGAAAGTGGAGGTAAAAAAAGCAACATTATAAACAAGCTAACATCAACCTGACAATTTCCAATTTCGACACCTACCATTAATATTATAAAGACTATATGTAAAGTAAACAAGAACTTCCTGCTTGGACATATAATTTAACAGACAATACTCAAGCCATGAACTATCAGAAACACAGTAAACTGAGTCAAAGACATCAGTATTCATCTGAAACAACTGACTCTATCTGAGGAAAAAAACACGTCATTGTTCTTTTTGAATTTATAAATTGGTTCGTAATTATTACTCCAAAAGACTACATGAAAGAAACAGAAAAGGCTGCTGATGGTTTTAATGAGCTGAACATCTTAACTCTTTGACTTAGTCATTTTCATGCATGACAAGCTACAGCCAGAAATAGCAGATGCATCAACTCTCCTAGAATTAAATTATGTGCCAGAATAGACCATTGAGAGTTTCAAATCCAATGCCCAATATGTTTTCATTGAGGTAGTAATGCCTGCCACTTATCATCGTGTAAGTGCTTTTGCTTTATCTTTGTTGTCCTTCCATGTGCAGCTTTCACATTTACGTTAAAGCTATTTTTTTTTTTTAAAACATCTTGAATGTATCAGCATGACATCAGTGATCAAAGGATCACTGATGTCATGTTGTATCCGGCAGCAAATATACAGTCCACCATGACAATAATAAACAGCTCTTTTTATCTATTAGCATGGCATGCCTGTCTGTCAGTAATTCAGAGCCTTATAATTAATTCAGATAGTTGATGATGAATTGTAAAGATGTTATGAGCAACATTATATGCTATTAAATGCTAAAACAAAATAATTAGATTAAATAGTTGAGATATTTAGTTGTCGTCCATCTGTCAAATGTTGTTCTTACAGCACAGGAAAGATAGCTGAATAAGTGTCTAGATAAAACTTTCTTGTTGTTGTTTAACTATCTAGGTGAAATATGACTTCCTATTCGACGTCCACCACACCTGTTGTTTGGAAGTATGGCCAAACCAGCAACAGAGGAGAGTGTACACTACCTGTCTGTGTGTGTTGGTGTTTTTGGCCCCACTGGCGACTATGGCCATTCTGTACTGGAAGATCATGCGAGAGCTCTGGGGAAATCACAAAGTCCATGACATCATGTTTCAAACACTCCCAGGATCTGAAATCAACAAGATTACCAGGTTAGTCTTTGGCTATGAACACTGTTTACATTTCTAGGCTATCTGAATATGAGGTTATTATAAACGTCTATAGGGTTGACTGAAAACTAGACAAATTACCAGTTTGTAAACATTCAGGATGCTCGCGTTGCGAGGTTGCAGAAAAAAAAAAAACAGGAGTGGTAGCATTTACAGCGAGGGAATGACATCCGATGCGGTACAGAATTTGTTGTGTAGAAATAAGTTATATTGATTACATATTATATATATATATATATATATATATATATATATATATATATATATATATTATATACATAATGCTTTCAGTCTATAATAACAGCTTGTCGACCAGTGATAAGCACAGCTATTCTGCAAAATTAACGTTAAAGTGAGCGGCATTCGTCTGACAGGTCCATCTGCGATAGCACCCTCCCAATGGATATTGGATAAGACAAAATGGTCAAGCATCCAGCCCCAAATACACAACTATCTCATTGAAACTCCAAGTGATTTTGCAAGAGAGAATTTAAAAGCCTAAAAGTCTTTCGATGCCAACAATTTTGTTCTGTGTGGTCATGTGCAAGAAATATTGTTACATGATCACCAGATTCAAAATTATGTAGTGTTAAAAACCGAGGTTCTGCCTAGCCAAATACAAGGAAAGAAAACGAACTGTACAAGACCTGGGTAGTCAACAAGCAAAACAACTGCATTCTGACAGCAAACTGCACCTGTAAGTCAGGGTATGTGAACTTACATGTTTATGTTTCATTTTAAGCATTCAGGGTTCGCAGTTAATTAACCATATTTAACTGTTTCTGCTAAAATCATTGCTGCAATTAAAAACAAGTAATGTGTATGATCCAGCATGACATGAACTTACCTGATATAAAATGAGAACTGCAGAGTCGAGCTCCCTTTTAGCCAAAGATGTCTGCGGTTGGCATTAAAAGTAGTGTGGTGTACAGTAAAAGAATTTCGAATTTAGCATCCTACCGCATAACACGACATGTTTGCTATTGCAACCGGTCTTTCTTTGCATCACCTTTGTGATGCCATGTGTGACGTAGGTTGGTAATTCCTCTATAACAAATATACACTCACCAGCCAATTTTTTGAGGTGCATCTTGGTTCACACCAGCTTGGGGCTTTGTTTGTCTTCTGAACTGCCTTAGCTGGAAACATTCTTCAGTAATTTGATGTGATGTCATCATGCAGTTGATGCAGATTTTATGGTATTAATCATGCATGATACAGATCTTGTCATTAGAGTTTCACCCTAAAACTTGTAAGCACTACTATGATTTGCACAACAGATCCACCTGACCTGATAAAGACTGTCAGTAAGCAGTTGTTTATAATTATTGTTACATTATTTATTTACCTACTATTTTACTTACTATTATTCTTTACAGAAACTGCAGAACCAATGCTATGATATTTTGTTTCTTGTACACCAGTACATTTGAATGGGAATAAAGTTTGTCAAAGTCAAAGTCGTTATTTGAGTTATTGTTCCCTTTTTGGCCAGACCTGACCATTCTCCCATGACTTCTAGCATCAACAAGGAATTTTCTGAACTATTCTTGGAACAATTTTCTCTCCTATTCGGAAGAATCACTGTAATCTCATTTCTAAAAGTTTCGAAAATACCATCATGATGGACATCAACAATCAAGCAACAAAGTCACATCTTATCTATAATCTTATTCTTGTTTTGAACTTAAAAACCATGACCATTTCTACATGCCTAAATGCTTGTTTGTGATCAGTGGCCACAGATTTTCAGAAACTAATCTTTTTCACCTTCATTTTGTTTCAAAACTGTATAATATACACTCACCAGCCACTTTATTAGGTACACGTTACTAGTACTAGGTTGGACCCCGTTTAGCCTTCATGGTATAGATTCAACGAGGTGCTGGAAATATTCCTCAGATACTTTAGTCCATATTGACATGATAGCGTAACACATATTGCAGATATGTCGGCTGCACATCTATGATTCAAATCTCTCGTTACACTACATCCCAAAGGTGCTTTATTGGATTGAGTCTGGTGACTGTGGAGGCCATTTGAGTACAGTGAACTCATTGTTGTGTTCAAGAAACCACTCTGAGATAATTCTCGCTTTATGGCATGGTGCATTATCCTGCTGGAAGTAGCCATCAGAAGATGGGTACACTGTGGTTATAAAGAGATGGACATGGTCATCAACAATACTCAGGTAGGCTGTGGCATTGACACGATGCTCAATTGGTACTAATGGGCCCAAAGTGTGCCAAGAAAATATCCCCCACACCAATACACCACCACCAGCAGCCTGTTGATACAAGGCAGGATGGATCCATGCTTTCATGTTTTTGACGCCAAATTCTGACCCCTACCATCCGAATGTCGCAGCAGACATCGAGACTCATCAGACCAGGCAACGTTTTTCCAATCTTCTGTTGTCCAATTTTCGTGAGCCTGTATGAATTGTTCCCTCAGTTTTCTGTTCTTAGCTGACAGGAGTTGCCTTTCTATCAGATCGACTTAGTCTGGCCATTCTCCTCTGACCTCTGGCACCAACAAGGCAGAACTGAACTGCCGCTCACTGGATATTTTATATTTTCTGACCATTCTTTGTAAACCCTAGAAATGGTTGTTTTTAAAATCCCAGTAGGTCAGCAGTTTCTGAAATACTCAGACCAGCACGTCTGGAACCAACAACCATGCCGTGTTCAAAGTGACTTAAATCACCTTTCTTTTCCATTCTGATGCTCAGTTTGAACTGCAGCAGATCGTCTTGACCATGTCTACATGCCTAAATGCATTAATTTGCTGATTGGCTGATTAAAAATTTGCATTAACAAGCAGTTGGACAGGTGTACCTAATAATGTGGCAGGTAAGTGTATTTCTGTTTTAAAGATGCAAACATGTTTTGTGACACAAAGAATATTTTTAATAATGCGGTTAAACCATTTCTGAGATACATAGGTCAACAGAAAGTCAACATTTCTCAAAGTGTCTATTTTCCACAAGGTAGGTCACAAATGTTAATGAGTAAATGACAGAACTTTCATTGCTGGGTGAACTATCATTTTATCCCTCCCTGATCCGTTTCTTGCACTTACGCATCATTATAAAGTAGCCCTATATTATTACATAAAAAGACCACAATCTTAAAATACTACACAATAAATAACAGGGGGTCCTTACTGTGTCTCTGTGCACCAAGGAGATTGAAAAAGTATGAAGAGCCCTGGGCTTAAAGCACAGCATGAAAACCCATGTGATCTGAACCTGATGATTCAGCCAGTATACAACAACAATAAAGACTTTTGTCCATTCATACAATCTTTTGAGAGGTATATTTAGTGTATTCTTTCAGTGGCAGGTTTGCATAACACAAAGATTGCTGTTCTTACTGGTAAACTGGTGCAAGCACCATTTGATTGACACACTCCTGTATTTTGTTGTTACTGACATGCCTATAACAATAGAAACCATTTCATCCTCAGGAGGAAGAAGCGCGCTATAAGAATGATGGCCACTGTGGTGCTGCTCTTTGCCGCCTGCTGGGCACCTTTCCATCTGGTTTCCCTCCTGCTTGACTATGGTAACAAACAACTTCTTGTGTCCTTCCTTCCCGCCACATTTGTCAATCTCCCCATTTTTTTTTCAGGTAACAAAAAACCAACATGTTATTCTTTTGTATGTCAGGCAGCTGCTGTCCTTCCAGAGCAAATAAACATTTTCTCACTTCAGATTCTCTTCTTTTTTTACCCTTTCTTCCTCCTCCACCTTTTATAGAGGTCAACACACCATTTCTGCAAACCATTAGCATTTAATTATTTGCTCTGTCCTTCCTCTCACGGTTATCTCTATGGCAACAGTTGTGTTTTGGCGTAATACTTGTTACTTCACGCACAGACTGTTATTTTTACACTTTAACATTTCACAGCAACACAAAACATGCATTTAAAAAATGACAGTCTCATTTTATGTGCATAATTAATGTCATGTCAGTAAATGTTTGCACACCCTCATGTTGTCAAAACTAGGCATGGGACGATTACCGTTTCGAAGGTATGCCGCGGTTTTAAAAAGCAAAGGTTTTAAAATCGCCAAAATACTGTGATACCATGATATTTTTATCCATAGTATTCATACCATCAGAATCAGATACCGCCCCATGCCTAGTTATAACCCACAAGACTTTCTTCCACTCATTTGATAACTTGTTTATTAAGAATGAAAAAAAAAATCCATATGACATGAGTGGTTTAATCGAAGTCTCCTGTAGTTATGAACAGTTGAAGACATTCATTCATCCATTTTCTCTTAGGCTTAGTCCTTGTTTTAATCTGGGGTCGCCACAACAAAATTAACAGCCAACTTATACAGCATATGTTTTACCCAGCGGATGCCCTTCCAGCCGCAACCCATTACTGGGAAACACCCATACAGTCACATTCGCCCACATATACTATGACGATTAATTAGCTTACACAATTCACCTATAGCACATGCCTTTGGACTGTGAGGGAAACCGCAGCACCCGGAGGAAATCCATGCGAACACTGGGAGAACATGAAAACTCCACATAGAAATACCAAGAGAACCAGAGACTTTCTTGTGACCTGCGCTTTCCACTGTGCCACCATGTCGCCCAGTTGAAGACAAGATTATTAAATTATAATTATTTTTAAAATATATATTCCAAAAGGGTGGCATGATGGCTCATTGGTTAGCACTGTCGCCTTACAATAAGAAGGTCACTGGTTCTAGTTCTGACTGGATCAGTTGGCTATATACATGCGCTATAGGTGAATTGGATGAATTAAATAGGCCATAGTGTATTTATGTAAGTTTATGGGTGTTTTCCAGTACTGGGTTGCAGCTGAAAGGGCATTTGATGTAAAACAATGCTGGAATAGTTGCCGGTTCGTTACACTGTGGCGACCCCTGACAAATAAGAGACTAAGCTGCAGGAAAATTAATGAATATTCCAAGTGATGTTTAATAGAGCAAGGACATTTTTTTCACAGCATTTCCTATTATTTTTTCTTCTGGAGGGTCTTTTTTCTAGTATTCTGCAAAATAAATATTATATTAGAGCTGGGCGATTTTTATTTAGCCTAAAACCTAAATCTCGATTAATTGATCATTTTAACTTGATTATTATAAATGAATGATTATTTTATGTATTTGATTTCATTTTTTTGCCCTCACAGTTCACTGTTTTTGTACAGTAAATATGTTCACATATTACATGTAAGATATTTCTGAATGAAGGGTGCATTACTTGATTTTAAAATAATTGAAGGAAAAAACACTATCTACAATCTGATTATTTATTGAACATCAATGTTGAACATACGAAATTAAAACACACATTGGGTCGCATGCCTCCACACTCAGTAAGGAAAATAATTGAAAAAATCATGAAAAAATTTGTTCGATTAAAGGTTCTGCATGTCGATTTTAATTACTTTTCAATCAGTCCTATATTATATACTGTCATCATGGCAATAACAAAAGAAATTAATGAATATATATTAGCTATTAAAACTATTTTAACAAAAAATATTTAAAGAACAAATTATTTTAGAACAAAAGCTTCTCTCCATTAAACAACACTCAGAAAATGTTTTAAAAATAATTAAAATATTGCACAAGCAAATAATTGTCTTCTTAACTGTATATTTAGATTCAACAAGAACCAATTATTTTTGTCCCTGTGTCAGGCCAAAATTGTTGAGTTTCTGTTTGTGTTGTTTGATCAATCTAAGGTCAATATGAATAAGTACTGCACGATTCTTTCTAAACGATTGTGCAGATGTAAATTAAAGGTTAATACAAGTAGGCTGTTATTACAGTAGTTTATGTGTAGGTCTACTGTTGTTAAAATGCTACATTTTGTATAGACTTTGAATGGAAGACTTGACCAAACTTTAAATGTCTTTTTAATTTTAAATGTGAATAAAACTAATAAAAATAATTAAGAACATTAATCTGTTCATCAAATAAAGGCAATTGTGTTTCTTTAGAAGAACTGAATTAAACCATGCAGTTCATATGGATATTTTTAATGTCTTTATAAACATTTGGAAGCATCCATCTATATCATTTTTATTACATCTTGTGTGGTTTATTATGTGGTCACGCATTTGTGGTAAATGGACCTTCAATGATTTTAATGAATGGTGAATCACTGCTTTTTACATCCCTGACCCGGCCACTCTGACCTATAGGAGCTATTCAGAATAAGATTAGTTCTCTCTCTGTCTCTCCTGTAATGTGATTTTCAGCACTCACTCTTTAATATTATTCTGTCCACTCCAATGTCATGTGCACAACATGTGACGCATTCCCTCTGTTCTTTCTCGACTGCAACAAAAGCACTTCAGAAGACAGCATGGCCAATTTTTCCATTTTCAGTGTAATGACATTCATAAGCATTTGCCTGAGACGCACTGTGTGGAGCCTCTCCAGTATGGAAATAAGATTTTAAGGAGACAAAGCAAAAGAGCACTAATGTGTCACCTGAGACACTTTTTTAAAAGAATGTATACAGATCATATAATCTGAAAGTAATAGATTTGTTCATTTATTTTCAGTTTTTTTTTCTTTTTTAATATTTTAAAAGCTTAAAAAAAGACATCTTATTTATCCATCAACGAATTATGAATCAAGTTTTTCCTGTAGCTTTTTCTCCAATTTTTGCACCTTTCTAAAGAGCAAACGATTTTGTAAACATTGGACAAAAACTAATAATTAAATCATTAATACGTAATAACTTAAAGTTTGTTTATAAAATCTTAATTTCGGTGTCAGAGTACAAAGTTAATGGATGGCACTGTGGCGCAGTGGGTAGCACTGTCGCCTTTCAACAAGAAAGTCACTTGTTTCGATATAAATGGCTCTAGTAGTAAGTAAGTGCATAGTTAATCATTTGGTACAAAATGAAAATGACCTCATCATTTAATATCCCTCAGTTTGTTCTAAATATTTTTAACATGTTTCTTCTGTAAAAAACTAAAGAAGATATTTTGATGAATGCTGTTTGCTAGCACACATCATCTTCCATAGTAGTAAATAAATATTATGGAAGTCAATGGGTCCCAGCTACCAGCATTTCAACATTCAAAATTTCTTCTTCTGTGTTCAACAGAAGAAAGAAACTCAAATAAACTTTGAAGTGAAGTTTCAGATTTTCAATTTTGGGTGAACTGTCCCTTTAATTCAACTAGTTTGTGCAAAAATACAAAATCATTAAGGAACAACTAAGCCATTAAATCACAAATCAAATGATGACACGGGTTTGTCAAAAATCTAAAATCTGTATTTTCTCATAATAAAAAAAATCTTCTGTGAGCCTACTCTGATTGGTCAATTGATCCAGTCTGTTGTGAATTTCAGTATACACAAAACAGCAAACACCATACCTGGATTTCAGCTTTAGAGGTTTCAGCTTCCTCAGCACTCAAGATACACCGAGATACAGACAGTAATGTTGGAATCGTTTTTACTGTATAAAGTCAGACTGAACTCTTTTCCTTTGGAAGTGGATTTGCTTGGATCTTCTTTACAAGTCAACAACAAACCAAATCAAACCAAACTCTTGCAAGCCTCAACTACAACCCCATTTTGAAAAAGAATATTTGTATCCATTTCTCAGTGAATATAGGCAATGTATTTTGGTGCATTTAAACAAAGCAGATTTATTAAACAGATATATTTATTAAAATTATATTTTAGTCACCAAACATATTTAAAAATTGAAATATAATACAATTAAATTCAAGCTAGATATTGGGGGGAAAAAATAAGTACAACCTACAAAATTTCAACTAAATATTTCATTTTTATTTAATTTTTTGCTACTTTAGATTTTTCCTCTTTTTTAAAATTTGTATTTAATATTTTTCTTTAACATATAAATTTGGGTGTGCTAGTTTTGGACCGTTGTTGTAAGTTATTTCGTTAGATAAGCTCTAGATTTGGCATCAGTACTGACTAATCTAATGTATATGTAGAAATATAATATTGTATAGCTCGATGTTAAAATACACATTTAAAAGACAGATTTGTGAGGGCTGTACTTATATGCTGAGCACTGTATATTGTTTGAGGATCAAGACCTAGACACTGTTTACAAGCAGCCAATAAAGACCATGAACTAGAATTATTTGCAAATTTATTACAAAGCTAATAAGGTTTAAGAGGAGTTATTGATGACTTGTCTCAGGCAGACAAGAATCAGCTCTTTCTTTGATAAAAACAATAATTTATTTGTTAAGCAATGTGATCTTTAAAACTTAGCAGACAGTGTACCATCACATCTGTTATACACGCTACATGAAAGCTAATATTAAAAGCATAGAAAGCACACTTTCTACATGCATTAAAGGGATAGTTACACAGAAAATGGAGGATCATTGAGATAAAGTTGGTTTTATATTTGCACATTCAGAGTTTCTCCTTAATAATATAATTTCAGAAAAGAATTCTTTGTTCTAAATGGGAAAATCATATTAGCAGCCAATAGCTATGTTTCCATCAACTTATTTTTATGCACATTTTTGAGATGCGCATAAAAAAATCGATTGATGGAAATGGCAAGCTGTGCATACATTTTTTAATTGCTCATAAAACTATATGCACATAACAGAGTAGGATAAACTTTTTATTCAATAAGAAAAGATGCCCATAAACTATGATGGAAACATTTTTACTGAACAAATTCCAGTGTGCGCATTTAAAAAGTCATGTTACTTTTTTTTTTAGAGATTATGTGATGATAAAAATTGTGAATGGACAAACCAGCAGGCTGAGCACACTGTAAAACATCTGAACTGTTGTTTTGGTCATTCTAATAACGCCTTCACTGTTTCGGTATTAGTGTTATATTATTAATGGCCTCCAGAACTGTCAAAAGCGTCTGTGCTCCGCATCTCATGTGGGCTTTAAACGCCACCACTCATTTATTGTGTGTCGGCATTTGTCTTCATTAAATAAATAAAAGTTTGATGCAGCTTCTCCTACTGCAGCAAATTCCATTTTGACTCTTGATATTTAGCACGAGTTAATCAGGAAGTGACTATTTTGTTTTCTTTTATTCGTAGGATGAAAACGCTGCTTTATATCTTTTATGTAATATTCCAGTTTTGCACATAAATTTAATTTGTATTTTTGGATGGAAACACAGCTAATGACGATCATTGCTCACATTAAATTAAATAGTGTTAATTAGGGCTGTGCGATTTGGGGAAAATATCTCATTGCAATTTTTTTTGACAGATATTGCAATTGTAATTTAATTTTGCAATTTAATTTTGTAGTCAAGCTTCAGCTCAATAATATGTATTGTAGCTTTTCACTGCTAAAATGCAGTGAGTGTTAGTTAAAAAAGAAACTGAAACGATAATAACTTACTCCAAAATTTATTCATATTTTTTCTTAAATATTCAGAAATTGAAAAAAATTTTCTCTAGAACACATGTAAAATTACCTTACCTTTCTGTAAGTTCAACTCAAATTAGGGAGATAATGTGGCTTATTATACAAATAAAAAATAATAATAATTATAAAAAGCAGAACACTCCGCAAACTAACATGGCTGATAAGAAGCACATTGAAAAGTTCTAATTGGGCAGAACGAAAGTGTGCTCACTCAATTGGCTACTAAGACTGTCACACACAGACAGCGGTCATGCATTTTCTCTGAGCCGGTGGAAATTAAATAATACATATACAGGTTATATGCAGGAATCCTAAAGGTAATTTCAACACCTTTTTAAGACTTTTTGAAGACCTTCTCTGAATATTTTTAAGACCTCATCGCCACATCAAATTCTAATCAGCATAAAACCTTTATCTTAATAAACAGTTGTTGATAAACAGTTGTGGTTAAGTAAATCAATAGAGCACAACCATGCAACATAACTTAAAAGAATAAATGATGCAGTTGTTTTCAGCCAGTGTTTAAACTCGTATTTTTCCATCCAGGAGTTAGCAAACTTACGTTTTCCCTGTTTTGCTCTATGGTTTCACTACATGTGGAGAGCATCGCGTTTGTCACAAATTACATGACATCACCCAGATGGAGGAGCTTGGCCAGACGTGCCCTAATCTGAATAAATCGCGTGGATTGAGCACGCTGTTGTTAATATTAAAAGAAAAATAAATATATTTTTTTGCTTTTTTGGAGTCAAACACTTTGGACAAAGCTTGAACAAAAGTTAAAGACTTCATAAAAACGCAATTAAGACTTTTTAATACCTTTTAAGGGCCTTAAAGAAAGAAACTTCTGAACTTTTTAAACAAGTAAAGGGTATGTAAATAATGCCAGAATTTGCATTATTTGGTGAACTATCTCTGTATTAATCAATAATCATTCCTAAACAACACTTTTAGAACTGTACCTCGCATGTGTCTTCTCTAAACACAGGTCAGCTGAACCTTGATCTTGATGATGAGTTTCTTCTGGTCAGCGTGGTTCAGATCCTAGGATTCAGCAATTCGGTGTGCAACCCGCTGATTTATGCTGCCCTCAACACCACCTTTAAGAGGGACCTGCTGGCTCTGCTCACCCGAGGATGGAGATCCCGCACGAGAGGTTGCTGCTGTAACTCATGTTCTTGTTGGTCCTGGAGGAGTCATAAACGTGTGGGCATCTCCACAGTGGATTCAAATGAACCCAGACAGGGCCTGGAGACCACATATAGACAGAGAGGAATCAGATCATGGAGTAAACCAGCGTGGGAGGCTGAACCAGAGAGACCTACCTCAAACACGTTTCCCGCAATGAACCTTCTTAGTGCCATCAAGCCCAAAAAGACCTCTGGTACTATGTTACTGAGCATTATTGACCCTCCACACACAGACAGCTCATCGGGATCTGACCAGCCTCTCACAGGGATGCTGGGAAAGTGAATTTTAACCAAATTAAATTGTAAGGAAATCTTGAACTTGCTAACATTAAGGGTTCTTCAAGTCATCTCAGACTTACAACTACAGTATTGTTCATTTATTTTTGTATTTGAGTTGAGGAAATATATTTTTCAATTTTATTTGATTCTAACAGTGTTCATGAAACAATGCCGGTTCTTAAAAAATGCTTCACCTTAAAACAAGCAATTTCAGGTTATTTGCTGCCCTCCGGGCCATCCAAGATGTACAATAGGTAAGTTTTTATTCTTCTTCAGTAGAACATTTACGATTATCAGCTGAAGGTGATTCATAAAATGGAAGAGAATGGCTACTGGCACTTTGGGTGGAGAGAAAAAACATACAAGCAAAAAAATACAAAAATAAATTTGTGTCAATGGCTCTTGACAATACATTAAGGTCCTATGACATAATCTAGTGGCAATCAGATTGTTGGTTCAATCAGACTTAAAAGCCTTTTATGTTAACACTTTATTTAATTAAGTTTGATTGCATTCAATTGAATTTTTTTTTTTTAATCACACGTGACTAGGGGTGTCACGATTTCGATTTTTAATCGAAATCGATTGAAAATTATACTCAATTTCGATTATCGAATCAAAAAACAGAATCATCGATGCTGCCACGCCCCCATGTCACGTCAGCTTGGCTTGCCAAGCGGGAAAAAAACAGGCTTGTTAAAGTGCTTGTTAAACTGCAGAAGCAGGAGACCCGTCGACAGAACTTAAACCCTCTCCTCTTTCAATAAAGTCGCTGGTGTGTAAGCATTTTGACAACGTTCGTGTTGTCGACAAAAAAAAACACAGTTTTGCAAGCTCTGCTATGTACGTATTACGTACGATAGACAAAACACCTGCATCGCGATCCTCCGCCCGCCCCCGTTGCAAATCCGCTTGCGAAAAGTACACACTCAGGCCCTGCTTACACTGTCTTTGTTTTTAAATGGCATTTTAGAACGACAACGATTTGACATCCACAGTGGCGTGTAGCATTTCTGAGCAGCCCTCCTTCCTCTCTACCTCTGAATATGCACATCACGTGAACACACAGACACCGACGCACTCACAGCCATGCGCTCAAGACAGCAGGTCCAGGCAGTCAGAGGACTGCATCAATCTTTCACTCACTTGTACTTAGTCATTTTAGCAAACACCTCAGATACTGTTGGCTGGTTCCTGTTGGTTGTGCCTCTTTTTTTACCGACGCCATTATAACGACACAGATCACTGCCTATTCATGAGTCCCGCAAAAAAAAGTGATTGACAGGTGGTAATTATGTTTATCTTGCCTTTATACATTTACTGTATGATTTGTTTATGGGTAAAACAAAGACCATGCAGGTCAGGTAGTTTAAACGGTAGGCTACAAATAATTAATTGGTCATTAATTATTTAATTATTCATAATCGAAAATCGAACCGAATCGTGACTTTAGAATCGAAAATGTAATCGAATCGAGGATTTGGAGGATCGTGACACCCTTACACGTGACATACATAAGACAAGAGATTACACATGACCAGAGTTGAAAAATTACAGGTTCAGCTAGCAATAAGGCTGAGCGATATGTCAAAAATGCAATCTCAATTAATCTTTTCCATATTGAACAATAACGATAATTATTTTGATATCATGTTAATGCTTTCAAATTTAAAAGAGTATCCCAACCATGACTGAAGCCACAAATTAGATGGTCCATTAAATAGCATAACCTATATTCGGTGGCCGATCATTTTTTGTGTGCATCACTAATATCAACACACTTCTAGATTTCCATTGTTGCACATTTCTGCAGTGTGATTGGCTCTTAGATCCATTTAGAGTAAAAATGTCCTGAGCATATCATTGTTATCGACATAGATTTTATCGCAATTCGATGTAATATCATTTGTCAGCCCAGCCCTAGCTAGCAATATGACACGGCAACATATGAAGCTGCTTTGTTTTGCAGAGCAAGTTTTATAAATACAGACAGTGCTGCTCAAACAAAGCACTCATCGTTAAAAATAAATAAATAGACAATTATTGTGATCCTTAAAAAAAAAACAGGGTTATTGGCTATGCACTAAACACACTGGGGTACTATATTTATGCAGCTGTGTCAAAAATTCTAATCTTTACCTAATAATCTGCACACTAACCTGATCACTTTATTTAGAGCCCAAATTTCGGTTTCATCATTCAGAATGAGGTCATTCCAGTGGAAACATGTTAGATGTGTTCTAAAAATGGTCAGTTTCTTTCTCACGCAAATAAAAATATTTATTTAAAGTTCTAACCTAAAGAAAAACAAGTCACCTACATTTTGGATGGCTGAATGAGTGAGATAAAATGGTTTTGGTAACTTGCCCCAAACCTTAAAAATATATATTTGAACTAGACGTAAACTTTAGTTTAATTTAGTTTACCTCCCACCTAATAGATAGCAATAAACAGTGTTACTTTTGATATAAAATCTTTTAAGTTCTGTTTTTCTGATTTTATCATTTATTCATTCATTAATTTTCTTTCCCTTATTAATCTGGGGTCGCCACAGCGAAATGAACTGCCAATTTATCCAGCACATGCTTACAGCTGCAACCCATCTCTGGGAAACATCCACACACTCATTCACACTCATACACCATGGATAGCATACAATTCACCTATACCACGTCTTTGGACTGTGGGGGAAACCGGAGCACACGGAGAAAACCCACGTGAACGCGGGGAGAACATGCAAACTCCACACAGAAACGCCAACTGACCCAGCCGAGGCTCGAAACAGCGACCATCTTGCTGTGAGGCGACAACACTACTGCGTCACAGCGTCGCCGATTTTATCATTTAATTCAAACGATAGGCTAAATACCGTTTAGCCGCTCTTTTCGCTTCACACATTTGTTACCTCAGTACAAGCACCGATTTATTTACAAAATGACATATTTCTCATTAGCCTAGGCTAAAAGAACAGGTATGTTGAAACTTGCCAAATTGCAGAATATCACCTTTCGTCCAATGCTGAACCGCGCAAAGACAACAATTACGTCAGCAAAAAAATCTAGAGAAATAAGCTCTAATGAGCATTTTGCTAAATGTACTCACCATATTATATTTTGCCTGAATCTGAATCACTACTAGGCCAAATTGAATCGATTCGCCTGCTTGTGAATCAAATCGTCAATTTTCAAAACTCAAGTCCCAGCCCTATTTTCAATATAATGATGTGAATCAACAAACAAAGGGAAATTTACTTTGAAGAATGTATTTGCAGCTTATATATTATTCTGTATGTTACATGAGAGTCACCAACGAAACAATGTTTTTGAAGCGCTTCAAGTCTTCAGCTTTTTAGGCCTCATACGGGGAAGAAAGCTATATTACTTTTTGAAGAGCATTTTTGTGTGCAGCTTTCCCACACTATGGTGATTTTTTTCAGCTTGTTATTTGTTGAATAACGTCTTTAAACATCTGTTTGTGAGAGCAGCACAAAAATTATTTGATGATGAATTGGATGTGCTTTTATGTCACATATAGGGATGTGTGCAGGCTTTTGCCTCAGGGACACAGTTTCAGTCTTCATAGATCGACTAAAGATGTTCTGGAGCCTGCAGAGGGGTTTGGAGATAACCAGCCGAGACCCTTCATGAAGACTGAAAACATGCATTTATACCAGATTTATACTCATTCAGTTTGCTACAGGCATTTTTTCAATTTCAGATGACCTGGAGTCACTGCATGTCTGGTAAAAAAAAAAAAAAAAAAAAAACATTTGTGGCAACCTGATACCTCAACTCGTATCATTATTATTGTTATTATTATTATTATTATTATTATTATTATTATATAAGTGTGTGTGTTTGAATAAATTTTTAAAGGATTGTTTCTATTGTAACATGAAATGAAGTAACAGCCTAGATGAGTTAATCACTGTATGTGTGTGTGTGTGTGTGTGTATATATATATATATATATATATATATATATATATATATTAGATTACATTCACTGATTTTGTAATCATTGCCTTTGATTTTGCGATTTGATTTTATATTAAACATTTTACAAGGTGACCTCTTGATCTCAGCCAAATCAAGTAAGTAGAATGAGATAAAATATTAAAATAATAAATAATCAATTACCATTTTTAAAGCCATTTTTAAAGCCTGGGTGTACTTTGGTACATTATGAAACATTATGGTACATTAGGTTTTAAACATAAATGTACATTATGAAAATGTTAAATTCTAAAAAAAAAAAAAAAAAAAAAAAAAACATTCAGCAGTCAGAAGAATGAATGTAAGCCTTTGATACCATTCTTCCATTTTGTGCTGTATATAATGTGTATATAACAGTATAGTGCTGTATATAATATATATCCATATTTTAACAAATAGTGTACAGATTTTAGCTATTCTCTATTAGCAACAAACACACACATATACATATAAATTTGTATATGTATACACACACACACACACACACACACACACACATATATATATATATATATATATATATATATATATATATATATATATATATATATATATATATATATATTTATATATATATAGCCATTTAAATAATGTTAGAATTTTATGATTGCTTTTACAAATATATTATAATTTGTTTATATATATATATATATATATATATATATATATATATATATATATATATAATTTTATATAAACAAATTACAATATATTTGTAAAAACAATCATAAAATTCTAACATTATTTAAATGGCAATTAATAATACTAAGTTATTTAGGTGAAATGGTGGCTTAGTGGTTAGCACTGTCGCCTCACAGCAAGAAGGTTCGCTGGTTCAAGTCCCAGCTGGGTCAGTGTCAGTTGCCATTTCTGTATATAGTGTGCATGTTCTCCTCTAGTTCACTTGGGTATCCTTCTGGGTGCTCCGGTTTCCCCTACAGACCAAAGACATGCGCTATAGGTGAATTGGATAAGCTAAATTGGCCATAGTGTATGTGTGTAAATGCAAGAGTGTATGGGTGTTTCCCAGTATTGGGTTGCAATTGAAAGGACATCCGCTGCCTAAAACATATGCTGGAAAGTTGGTGGTTCAGTCCACCAATGGCCTGATGACCTCTGATTAATAAAAGGACAAAGCCAAAAATAAAATGAATAAATGAATAATTAAATCTTATCACCATAACACAATTTGTGAAAAAGATAAATAAAATCTGAAGTAGAAAATACTTAATTCTTTGATTCTAAAGGAGAAACAACAACGTAACGAGTTGTTTTGGTATTTTTTTTATTTATTTTTTGTAATTTTAAAACAAAAACTTTCTACAAACAGCTTTGCAACAGCAAACATACATTCTTAAACGAGCAAACAATTGTCTAAGGGGAAATAAAACATACAAAACGTGTACTCTGAGTGATACCGTGGAAAATAAAGCTTAGAATGAGCAAGAAATGACACATGCATCTGTGTTAGAGGCGTCTAAGCAGGAACAATGTGGAGTCAATATAAAACTAGCAAAACTGTATAAAAACCAATGGCACTGAATTAGAGGTAAAAACTCCTGCACCTGCATCTGTAGAGACACTCCATGTTTAACTCAGTGCAAATGATGAAAGATGCAGAAGCCCGTTTAAGGTGTGAAAAAAAGTCCCTTGAAATTGATGCAGGTTTTTTTTCTCTGGCTATTCAACTCTTTGTCAAAAGGTGGCAGTGCCTGCACTGTACGACAACTCTCAAAATTAAACAAAGCTGGAAGGGGGAAGAACCATTTTGTTCTGATCTGACTTCAGCTCTTTTTTTTTGCTCCACATTAAGAAAAATGTTCATTAAGGTAAAGCTGATTTCAGATCTGTGTTCTGAAAACACATCCAGCTAACATAGCTATTCAGCCGAGTCAGATGTCACAGTTCATTTACGAATACGAAAATGAATTTAAGCCCTAAACATCCCTAAAGCTTGTTCGTTGAAATCATTTAAGTTTGTTCCTTCTGTGTTTTTTCAGGCAGTACTTCATTGCATTGTGCTCTTAGGGCTTGCATAAATATATATCTATTAGTTTCGTTTAATAGAATTCTTGACGACTATATACATACTAAACAAATGTAATTAAACTGTAAGTAGTTTTTGGAGGAGCATAAATTTCCTTCATCTTTGATCTATTTAGAAACACGTACCTGTGCACTACTGCATATAAAAACAGATTTTGAAATGCCTCCATAATCTCGACATCAATTCAACCTTGTGGAAGCAGCGTCCAAGAGATACTGACCGTGGTACTTCTCTTAATGTTTTCAGAACATATTCAACATCGTTCGCTGTGAACGTTCAACAGCCAAGGACGTGTCTTGCGATTCAAATAAGAAGAAATGATGCGTCTGTAGTAAACGCAGAAACGAAGCGAAATGGGGTTCGTGAAAGGGCCGGAAAATTCGGCATCTCAGTCATGAAAAAACAAACAAAACAAAAACAAAAAGTTTCCGAACACTTACTGCGGGCGAATATTGGTAACAGGTATAAATAATACGTAATTACACCATACAAAATAAATACATCACTTATTTAAATAAACAAACAAAAATGGAAAAGGCAGGAAACATCGAAAAGACGAAAACATTTCCGCCATGCACCAAAGAAAGGGAAGAAAAAACAAACAAACAAAAAAAAATGGACTGAAATCCAAAATATTCTGTAACAACCCGACCAGAAAATGAATGTTCTGAACTTCAATTGAAACTCTAAACTGTTGACAAAACAGTTCGTCTGAAATCCAAACCAACTCCTATCTTGAGGCTTATTTGTAACCAGGTTTGTAGCAGAGGCTGAAATACGACAAAGTGTAGTGTGAGGATATTCACTAAAACTACATAACGCTTGTTTAAGTTTGAACATTTGGTGAAACCAAAGGTTTAAAAACATCTATATGCAGGCTTTAGACCAACCTGAAAGCCTGAGGCCAGTGCATGAAGTAACACCACAATGCACTATAGAGAGGGAAAACAGCGCCCTCGCCTGATAGCCAGTGTAAATCCTTTTAAAAAGGGTCCAGTGTTGGCTTGTAAACTCACTGTGGGCGCTACAGAGAGGGTGATTCTGCCAAATCTCCATTCAGTTCATGCCCAACAGGGGAGAATTCAAACTGAATCAACACCTCTCCACGATAACGTCTTGCAGTCTTTATAGAGGCATCACTCGTATTTGTAGTAGCCTCTTTCCACAGCCTTAGAGGCAATGTGTTCTGCTGAATAGCGCTGGTCTAGGTCCAGCAGTGCTTGTAGTAACGTGTTAATGTTTGCCCGCAGGCCTTCTTTCTGCATCCATACCCGCAAGAGGTCGTAGACTTTGTCCATGGGCTGCTGGGTTTCGGCCAGCTTGATGGAGTTGTCGCTCACGCCGATGCTGCGGAAGAACTTGTTGTGGTACCGCACGTCCAGAGAGTCAAACAGGTCAAAGCTCTTGCTCAGAGATTCCTCTTCACCTAAGAAGTAAGATTAAATAAGGGTCAGACATAATAGGAAAAAAATAATAAATAACAAAAAAGTTTAAAAGTAGATTATACATTACGTAAAGATGCAGACAATTGATAATAAATAATACAGAATTGATTTGAAATATGTATACATCTCATTTTTATTAAATATTTTGTTTTTATTAAAATGACATGTTAATCAAATAGGTTTCTTGTTGAATGTGTTTTTATAATAAAATAATAATATGAATGTTTTTTATTAAATATATTGTTTACTGTGTATTTTTGGAAATAAATATATATTCATTTAATATTTTTCTTAGATTTAATTTAGTACTGTATGCTACCATTCAAAATACCTTTTTGTGAACAAAAACACCCCTTTTTAAAATAAGGATGCATTAAATTGGTCAGAAGTAATACAGTATGTAATTATATTTGTAAAAATTATTTTTCAGTTGTACACTACCTTTCCAAAGATTGCTTTCTGAAATAAATAATATGCTTATTTAGTGAGAACACATGAAATAAATCAGAATTGATTGAATTAGTTTTAGGTTTAAGGTGACACAGTGGCTCAGTGGTTAGCACTGTCACCTCACAGCATGAAGGTCGCTGGTTCGAGTCCCGGCTGGGTCATTTGGCATTTCTGTTTGGAGTTTGCATGTTCTCTCCGTGTTCGTGTGGGTTTCCTCCGGGTGCTCCTGTTTCCCCCACAGTCCAAAGACATGCGATATACGTGACTTGAATAAACTAAATTGACCGTAGTGTATGTGTGTGTGTGAATGATAAAATTTTTTTAATAAACAATATTCTACTATTAATAATAATAATAATAACAATAATAATAATAATAATAATAATAATAAATTAGTAATAATAAAAATTATTATTTAGTAGGATATTTTTTAAATATGAGATTAGAATATGTGTTAGCTAAGTGTTTTTTTTTTGTTTTAGAATAGAATACTAAATATTCTCAATAATATTTGTAAAGGAAACACAGGCCCCATATGTGCCATTTACATATTTCAATTAATATGGAAAACTAGTGCATGTTTTTACTTAAACTAGTATTGGATTTTCATAAAAATGTGTGTGCGTGTAAAACAAAATAATTTGCATAATTTAATAATTTATGTTTTTTTTTCTCTAAAGAAGTAGATACTCCACCCTGTTTAGAGCGTCATTATGGGCGTTTTACATTATAACTAATGTGGTTCAAATGATGGCTCTGTGAAAGAGCAACTATGGTTTGAACACTTATCACTACATTGTTCTTTTCCCAAATGATGCATTGTACTATGATAGTTCAGCCACGAGTTATTTCGTTGTTTGGGAAACGGATTCCAGGACAACCATTTCCATTGTACTAATAATGATAATAAGTCCATGACATTAGAACGATTGCAGAAGTTCATTACAAAAATCTATTCCATTAAATACATAATAAACTAGAAAACGTGCACTTAAAATTGTACAAACATTTCAAAATATTACTGTATATATTTGTATTTTTAAAATGAAAAAATTATGCCTTGCTTTTGGTTTTTTCCTAAGACATAAACCTTTTGAATGGTAGTGCATCTTATCTGTTTTTTTACCGGTTCCACAATCAAATTAACTTCATTTAATTTTAAAATGATTCAGAGCCTTTGTTTGTAGTGCCCTTTGACCCAGTTATTGAACCACTTAAACTGTTTTATTGTCATATTGTGCTAGTGATCAAGATCAATTTTAAATGTTAAAACAACAAATGCTGTTTCACAAAGCAATATCTTACCGAGCAAAGGGAGGAGTTTTCTGGGAGGATCGTCTTCCTATAAAAGAAGAATAAAAACTAGGCTTAGTAAAGCTGTGAATGTATTTACCAGTACCATTTTTAATAAAAAAAGACTTCTATCTGCATACAAGAATTCGTCCACACATTTCACAGCACTATCCTGTAGTTTCAGGCATTGTGCAGTGTGAAAACTGTGGGGTAGATGTTATTCTCACTAACCCGTGGCCATGATTCAGTCTGATCTCTGTCGGTCGGTCTCTGGGCCGGGGGGCTGGATCGCGGTGAATCCCCAATGATTTGAGGGAGTGCAGATAGACTGGTTTGGGAAGAGCTGGTTGTGTTTGGCAGGCTGTCTCCCAGTCCTCGATCCTCATCCTCCACTGGGATGCTCTTGCTGCCTGTTTCCTGTGTTTCTTGTGTTAAGAGTGGCCGGGACTCTGGCCGGTGCTCCTCCTCTTTCTCCAGTCCTGCATTTCGGCTGTTCTCTTGCTCCTCTTCTGATCTTGGACACTCATCCTGAACAATGTTAACAAGCTAATTAAACTAGGAGTTTAAATAATTAAAAATAAAATAATTTAAAATACATTATTATTAAATGAATAATTTGCTCAAAAAATAATAAATTTATTTTAATTTTAACAGTATAGTGGAAATAATCATGAACCAAAACTCATTAAAACATTAAAAAGTCAACAGATACTTACAATAGGAACCTTCACTTCCTCAAGATTGCCATCAGTCTCTGAAATAAAGTTGCCAGCAAAAATGTCAGTTTTGAAACAGTTTCACACACACACACACACACACACACACACACACACACACACACACACACACACACACACACACACACACACACACACACACACAAACACAAACACAAACACAAACACAAACACAAACACACACACACACACACACACAATAGTTCTGTCTGGTTCTTGAATCTAATTGGCTGATAGCCATGTGATATTCTGCAAATAACAGCACTTGTACAGCCACTTAACCCTACACCCTTGTGTATTACTCCGCCTATATACAGCAACAAGCAGAAGACGTTCTACAGTTTGACAAACATTGCTGCTGTTGGACAACATAATGTACTTTTGAGGCTTTTTAGCTGAGATTGTAGTTGTTTAGATTGCGACTATGCAGTTTATTTATAAGGATAGTGCCTATTTTAAAATATGTATAATTTCTGGCAGCCAAAAGCCTTTCTTTGAGCAAAGAGAGTTAACGATGTTCATCTATAAGATGACAACAGACACCGCATAATAGGCCCTAAGAGAGAGAAGCATAAACTACAGCTGATCAAATCACTATTAAACAGGTAAATTACTTTATTAGTCAAAATCTCTCTTTTGCATGTTGTAGTGCTGTATTTATACCATAGTAATATTGTGATCTCCCGATTGCAACAGAGAAATACTGGGAAATCTCTATAGACTGATGGCATTTCATGCTGTTCAGACTTATAATCTTAAAATGTGAGCAAAATCCCCTTTTTTGTCATCACTTTAGACATTACGCTAGAGAATCATTCAAACACTAGCTCTAAAATGACGTTAGTGAATGAGCAATGGTTTCTGCTGTTCTGACGTCAGCTGCAGATGAGAAGGAATGGCGGAAGAAAATAGTTCTTCTTACAAAAGGGTTTTGAGAGTGAAATTATGCTGTCAAACTGGTGTATAAACGCAATATAACACTTGTAGCAGAGCGAAGTGGCTGTATATCGTCACTGGTGGGACACTGATATACAGCCACATTACACTGCTACTTGCTCATATATCTTATATATTTCTTAGAATTTATTAGGTATGGGTTTGAGTAAAGTTAAATAATTTTTATTGTATCTCAATAAAGATCTGAAATTTATTCCAAATTTCAAATTTAAAAAAAATGTCATTTAGAGCATTCGTTGTCAGTAAATGACAATTTATCAAAATAACAAGGTTTCATTTATTGTGACTGAAAAGTAATTTTATTTCACCAAATAAGTTTTTTTTAAACCCATTTGAAGGTAAAACACTGATATTGTGTTATCTAATACATATACACTTTTAAAATCATTGTCCCTTTTCCCCGAATACCATTGTATGCTCTAAATCAGTGTTTCTTAACCACGTTCCTGGAGAACCACCAAAACTGCATGTTTTGGATGTCTCCTTTTTTGTCATACACTTTACAGGTCTTACAGACTTTAGTAATAAGCTGATAATCTGCCTCAGATATGTTTGGGTAAGGAGATATGGAAAATGTGCAGAGTTGGTGGTCCTCCAGGAACGTGGTTGAGAAGCACTGCTCTAAATGACATTTTTCTTTTAAATTTGGAAGAAATGTCATCAGTAGTTTGCAGAAAAAAATCTGTTAATACAAAGTCAAGAGAATGATTTCTGACATACCACTTTGTTGTCTTTGCCTTCTCTTCAAAAACAATATTGCACCGACTATCGCGCATATGACCAGTAGAATCAGAATTGACACAATGACAACTAAAAAAAAAAGAGAAGATTGAATTTACTTTTCCTTTTATCCATAATTACACAACAAATATATTAGTTGATATCAAGTGACTTTCAGGCTATTGTGTGCATGTGTTTGCCTTACCTATAGTGCCAGTGCTATTTGAGGCTGATGGTTTTTCTGTCGGGCCTTCTGTCGGGTGAGAGGGGCGTCTCCTGCACTTTGTATTGGATGTGGGAGTGCACCCGCTCACTTCTTCCTCATCAGCTTTGCACCTGCAAAACCATGTTCAAAAAATAGGCCTTTTAGAAAAGGTGTGAAGGCGAAGGCTTAAAATAGGTGTCCGTAAATGATTGTCATTCTGAATAGAACAGTGAAAGCCTAAGGGCTTAAAGGTGGAGAGACTGAATCAGTGAGAAAGGGATCTGACTCAGTGAATGTGCTGATCTAAAGCAGAAGCCGAAAGGTTAAGAGAATAGAGGGTGGGAGTGTCGGGACTGTTTGCTTTCATCAGGGTGTTGTGCCGCAGAAAAAAAAAACAAATGGAAAGAGCACATTGCAGAAGAAAATAGGAACTCACTTGGTGCATTTCTTGCACACTTCACATGGTTCATCCGGCAGACAGAAGGTGCCAATTTTGCAATCACACTTAGTGTTGCTTGTGCTGGTGCATTCTGCAACCACAGTCTGATCTGAAATGAGAGGAAAAAGGAAAGGAAAGTAAGGAAAGGATGCATGAATAGAGAATCCACTATACAAATCCACTACTCAAATTATACAAGTCAATTGTGTCTCAGCAAACAGCTAATGCACATTTTACAAATAGGACTCCGAACAGTGTTCTGGATCAATCCTTTACAGCTAATATTTTCCATAAAGAACAGCTGACTTATGAAAGTCTTAACATGCACTCTGAAGTGTGAACTGAATCCATTCAGAATCAGTTCAGATTTAAAGAGACTAATGATTCAAAGAGTAAATAATTCATTCATTAATTCATACATTTTCTTTTTGGCTTAGTCTCTTTATTCATCAGTGGCTGCCACAGCGGAACTTATCCAGCACATGTTTTACGCCTCAGACACCCTTCCAGCCGAACCCAACTCTCGGAAACACTCACACAGTCTTGCATACAAACATACACTACAACTAATTTAATAAATCCAATTCACCTATACCACTTGTCTTTGGACTGTGGGGGAAACCCAGAGGAAATCCACGCGAACACAGGGAGAACATGCAAACTCCACACAGAAATGCCAACTGACCCAGCTGGGGCTCAACCCAGTGACCTTCTTGCTGCGAGGCAATTGTGCTACCCATTGTGCCACCATGCTGCCCGTAAATAATTCATGCAAGTCATTTTTATCTCAGCAAATAATTCAAATACGTTAAATCTAGACTGATCAAGACTTATTTGTTTAATTCAAATTCAGTGAGAATGATTCACTGTATCTGTTAAAACTAATACTTGCTACAGACAGCTGTAATAGCTGATCTTAACACACATTGTAAGTGTGAACTGGATGATTAGAATTACACTGGATTCAGATTCAGTCCAGATCTTATACGAATAATGCCTCAAAGTGTAAATGATTGAAGTCATGTTTCAGCAAACAGTTAACATACATGGAAGTAGTGCTGCATAATATTGGAAAAATACTGATATTGTGATATTTTATATTTCTTCGATAAATATTGCCATTTGAATACGGTTTCACAAGATAGTTTGAATAGCACTAATTGACGGTTTTCTGGAGAGTCTAACAGGAGTCAGATACAGAAATTTATTTATCACAATGCAAAAAAAAAGCTTTTCTTACTTTACTTTGTTTCATTTCTGTTCCTAATATCTAAAAGTACTTAGATCAAGTAATGTAGATATTGGACTAGAAGCACTAAGAATTTTTTTTTTGCCCAAATATTGTATAGATACTGTATACATACAGTAATTAAATAAAATTCTATAGCTCCTGGTCAACTATAATTTTGACTCAACATTGAATATATATAGTGAATGTGCACATTGCAATATCGATGCTGAAATGATTTATTGTGCAGCCCTACATAGAAGAAATAAGTCTGTAAGCTAAGAACTGGATAAATCAAGATTCAATACAGATTTAAACACAAACTGTTATTACTGATATCAGTTTTAGATAACACATTTAAGGTGTAAACCTAATGGGCTATATGCACAGCTAGTGTTTTTCAGCCAATGGTGAGCTTTCGGAGAAAGCATTATATTTTTTATTTATTATATATTTTATATGTTATATTTTCCATTAAATAAGGTTCCTTTTATGATCGATGTTGTAATGTAATTACAATACATTCAGTTAAATAGACTTAAGCATTCATTTGTTATTAAAGCATAATAAGAGACAAAAGACCAATAATAATACCAGAATACCAGAAGGTTAGCACAGAAATTCCATTAAAAATACTGGGGTAAAATTAATTTCCATATTTTAAAGACATGGCGCAGAAAAATATAATATAATGCTGTGCTTCTTGTTTGGTCTGATACCCACTTTACATTACATCACAGCCAGGCTGTGAAGATTGCTGTTTTTTAAAGAAATCAAATCTTAAACGTGGTGATTTTGTATGGGATGACGATTAACTGGAAGCCCTGGGGCAGGCTGACTGAAATTAAAAGCCCATGTGCATATACCACATTATTAGGTTCAGTCAAGAATGCTTCCACATGTTATATGAGAAATAATTTCAGGATAAATCCAGATTCGATTCAAAACTCTGCTTCAGAAATACGCTGAAATACAAATCCAGTTTCACTCTCAATTCACTTTACATTTTATACGCCAAAAAAAAAAAAAAAACTCTGAGAACAGCCAAACTGCAGTGAAAGTCTCAATCAGCACACCCTCGTGACTCAGCAAAGCAGAAGGTCTAACCTGGGAGTGATTGATTGCGCAAAATAGATACCGAACAAGACGCCACATGATACAGGCACACCCTGCATCATCCTAAAACACACGCATACACACAATCCCGGACAACAGACACAAAGGGGCGCACAAACTAGAGGACAGATCAGTCATTCATGCACACACAAATGGCTAGTTAAAGAACACAGGAGCGGAGCCACACCCAGGACGCGTAACTTTAGGAGATCAAATTCCCAAAAGCGAGGTGTCCTGCACAGGAAACACTAGACTCTGCTCTATTCATGGGGGCCCGCTTATGTCCCCGTCTTCATGCGAGTCCTATGGGAGGCTTATTGTCTAAATAGACGAGCGAGATTTTGTTTATACGACTATGTAGTGTTTACAACCGCATTTGGATCTGAACAAGCAGCAGGGTCTTGTGGGAAAGAGTGTTTAGGTAAATCAAATGGTTTAATAAACGGTGAGCGCGGCTGTCCAATCAAAATAAACAGCAGTTTAATGGATGGCTTGGACTTCATAGGAACCACAGACAGGCTAAATAGCTTTACGGAATTCTGTGATGGGTTCAATGTGCTTTAGATGTTCCGTCTCACTTGCGGATCACAGTATGTGGCACATTTTTTCATCCTGCTCCAAGGAGAGTCTGAATTTCCAAAGATGCCAGAATAATCAGAGATTTTCTTTGGTTTTTGTCTAATTTTCTACTTTCCGACTGAAGATTCAGAATTTAATTGTTTGTCCAGAACTTGTCGGCGATACGTGTGGTGTGTTATTTCCTTCCCAGCATGTGGAGGACCATGTGTGTTCCATTATTCATCCGAGATGTATAAAAGTTACATTCCTCAGTGATCTGCTTCTCTGGAGAGGTAGTGCAGACTACAGATGGCCGTCTACTGGAAAACTCAACAATCAATTACAATAGCAGAAGCTTGAGGTCTCGGTGTCTCAGAGTGCCAGTCACAGACCTGACCTGAGGACTTGCTTTAAACAACCTTAAGAGGAAGATCTGATCTGGTCTTTTACAAATATTTGGTTGTGATATTTAGTCAAACTAAAGTGTAATTGTTACCTCTGTGGCACTGGCTGCATTGCAGACACTGCTCCATGCCAGTAGGGTGCTCTGCATACGTGCCCTTCTCACAGGGCGAGCATTTGCCCATGACCTGGCCACTGGTACACTTCTCTTTCACATAAGTGCCTGCAAGTGGAGGAGAAGATGTGTTACACAAAACATGTCAGGACAGACATTTAATTTCAACACATTGAGCGTGCCTCACACAGCTGAGTGGGCTTGACAAACCACCTGTTAAAACACTCTTCTCTTTTAAAAAAAGAAAGTAATAAAAAAACTCCCCTTACACTATAGCACTTGATTCTCTGAGCACTATCTGTTCCTTTGTATAATGGCCCGTTTCCGCTGAGTGGTATGGTACTGGTCGGTACACTTTTATGCCCATTTTCAATGTCAAAGGGTACCAAAAAGCGAACCATAGCATATCACTTTTTGGGTACCCTTTCCAAAGGATACCTAGCACAATAAAAGGGTACCAAAAGGCAGAGCGAGACGCATAGCTAAATGCTATTGGTTTACAGAGAAACGTCATGTACAAGCAAGAGAATGAAAACAAAGGAAGCACCATTTTTAAATACACAGCCGAGACATCACATCGTTATAATATATACATATAATAATGAGACATGGTTGACCCGAGCTCAAACAAATCTTGTCGTCATCTTAATGAACAGCCACAAAGCCAAAATAAACCATGTTGTCCTGTTGTTGTTGCAAGGCCTTCTAAAGCACGAGCAGTTTCACTTTCTCCAGAGAGCACACGATCGCTCGCAGTGCTTCTTTATTTTAAATAACGAACTTTTTGAGCTGATAATGAAAACTTGTGTATGATTACTGAAGTGCTTCTGACATCCGATCCTTTCAGAAGTAGACAAACGCGAGAGCGAAGCACAAAAAAAACAAAGGAGCATGTTTTGGCTATTTTTTATTTGTAATTGGTAACATTTCAGAGACTGCAAGTCTCTGTATGTGTTTTTAAATGTTTTAATGTTTTTTATTTTATATACAATCAAAGAAGTCACAGTAGGCTATTTCGCATTATCTTTGATTTGCAGTTACAATCAAATCCTGTTCATAGAAAGGTTAGTAATTAACATTTATTTATACATAACTATTTATGTATATAAAGCATTTGTTTAGTAAGAAGCTTCTCATATGATATGTGAAGTTCAAGCGAGATTGACGTCGACTGCAACTTTCTGTCGAACACCACGCTCACCAGAAGGGTACCATTGGAACCCTTTGACAGTGGAGACACAAGGCTGACAACTCGTACCGAACCGTACCATACTGTACCACTCAGTGGAAATGGGCCATAATTAGCACTACTTGTGTGTATTGCCTTTTCTTGTTGAATCGCTGAATGCCTCCACAATTATAAGCCGCTTTGGACAAAATCGTCTGCTTAATGACTAAAGGTAAATCAAGGCAGAAAGGGAAATTATTTCTACTTCAGAACTGGATCCATTTAAAAAGTAATGTTACTATTAAGACTGCAGAAAGCTATATTGAGTCGAAGATTAGTCATGGAATTTTCAGTTTTTGTAAAACACTTCATCTAGAACTCAAATATTAAACATTTCTTATATGAAAAACTTAACCCAACAATAATGAAGTTTTCATTGCTGTTGTTGGAAGGTTTAGGGTTTGTTTTTTCAGTTGCTTTATATTGTTTAAATTGTACACAATTTTCAGTGTATTATCATCATACATTATATATTTTACATATATTTCATACATAACATTTTTTCATATCTATTGTTTTACATAATGTTGACTACAGAGAAGATTTCCTGTGAATGTCATCAATTTACCATGCAAATATTTTTCATATTGTCATTTAATTTTCAGTTCACATATTGTATAATTTCCAACATTGTATTTCTCAATTCAACATTTTTGATACTTTATTTCCATTAGTGTATTTGATGAATTAAACTGCTATATTTTGATGATGATGATTTTTTTAATGCCTTGTCAGCAACAAAGGCTATTTCCATGGCAAAAACATTTCATTGAGAAGTATACAATTAAAAACAATTGAATACATCAATTAGATAAGATGTTTAGCTGCTCTGTTTTAAATATGCGTCAAGTTTGCAAAGAGCAAAACACAGACCTCCATTCCTGCCATTCTAGATCACTTAACACCCATTCCAGACCACACAAACACCTCCTTTTACCACCCAAAGCATACAATATCTCTCAGGAGACATGGCTGTATGAGGAACCAGCATTTCGCAAAGAAAATTTTTGAGTTTTAAGTAGAGAAGTTTCATTCTCTGAAAAAAAGCAATGCTGTTTCTGTTCAAATCTTCAACTCCTAATAGCATCACTGATGGATGTTTGTCAGCACTTCATTGAAAAAGCCTGGAGAGCCCTTTTAAACATCTTGAAAAAAGCCTATCATTTTAATTTACTTAAATTTACTTGCTTTAAGCCAGTTGAGTAATTTGTGTTTACAATACTGCCATTTTACAAGGGAAGTTCTCACGGATGCAAAGGAACTTTAGGGATGGATGTTCACTGTGACTTACCAGCTTCACAGTTTTTGCAGCAGAATCCGTTGTGAGGATATTCATGGTTCTCTAAGCAGGTCATCTGTCTGGCTGTGCGGTTCTGGTGATCAGCTGAAACCCCCAGCTCTGCTGCTCCATGACCCACAAGTGCCAAACTAAAAATAACAAGGGCCTAAAAGAGAAGAGGAAAAAGGGAAATGAGAGTTTTCAATATGCATTCATGATGACTTGCAATTTGGGTACAGTAGTTGGTTACTGTAAAGCTGTAAATCTCATACTTTGCATTAACATTTGGACAGATTTGGTTATTAAGGGTTTGTGTTTATAACTGATTTTGAAGCATGTCTGACATACATTTGAGGTCTTCAGCCTGGGTCAGCTCAGCAATAGAAGAGGCTTATTAAATTCATTAATATACAGAGAGAAAACAGTCCTACAATACTAATATGGAATATTAGTACTAGAATATTATTTACTAAAATATTAGTCTAATATTTAGCAAATTCTATTTTTTATTTCTGGATTCAATGTTTGTCTTATATGATGTTTCTAGGATCAATTTTAATGGTTTAAATAAATGTCAGAAATCAAAAAAGAGTGATTAAAATGATGAAACTTGATTTACATTGAACAATGTGTACTTTTTAGCACTACACTTTCTCAACGTAAATGGCAAAATTATTTCTGTAAACATTTTCTTATAAGCCACGTTTTATTCAAGGAGTTGTAATAAAGACTAGAATTTCTTTGTGATAGATATGGTAATTTACAAATGTACAAATTTACACCAGACCATATGACAAATTGATTCAATCTCCAGCATTACTTTATATTTATTCACCTAAAACTTAAACTTTGACATTATTAAACCAACTCAGTTTTTATTCAGTTTATCCATTCTGACTAGGGCCCAGATTAAAGCATGCTAAGATGTAGTATCTTAGCAGTGACCTTTAAAATTATGTCATGTGGCTTCTTGAAGATTTCTGAAACTATTAGTAACATCTATTTTGTGTTTACTGTCTTTTTTTAAACACTGATGCATTCAGTTTTTTTTTTTTTACAAGAAATTCATAAAAAATAAAATAATATGACATAAAACTGTATAATAATAATAATATCATCAGCTAATACTGATATTCACTCTTTACAGCTTTAAAACTTCCTTCTCATTACTGAAAGTATAAATGCCACAGAAACTAGGCCTGTCACAATGAGGATTTTTTTGTTGTACGATATATTGTCACAGAAATTGTTAGATAAGCGATGTTATTGTCATTTTGAGATCAATTTATGTCATTGATTATATAATGATTACACTAAAGCATAATAATGCAAATATCCAAAAACACTTTAAAATACTTCACATTCTTAAGGTTGTTTAGATTGTATATTTTGATGTTAAAAAGGTAAATGTCCTATTATATATACTATTAAATGTCCTATTAGGTCCAAATATAAACATTGACACCAGTGTAGTATAATGTAAATGTCAACGTTATTTGTAAATTTGTAAATACATATTGCAAAGGTAAAAACGATTAAGGTCATCACCAAGTATTGCATGATAAGTCGATATATTGATTATTGTGAAAGGCCTGACAGAAACATGAATGGCTTTTGTTTAAATGTCTGGATTTCTCTCATAAATGAATTTATTTAAGTTTTTTTGCCATTGGATATGATGAGATATTTGTGGCTTTTTTGGCAGTGCTCAAGTTCTTAAAAAAAGAAAAGGAAAAATGCCGTGAGGAACTGTAGAAATGAGGTTTCTTAAGGAGAAGAACCATTTTTTTGTACTTTCACATGTCTTTCTTTCTCAGCTCCAGAGGCAAACAGAGAGGTATTCTGAGTTCTCATATAGCTGACCTTGTGAGAGCAATCTAGCATTTAATTCAAACCATCTGATGTGCACATCTGCAGAGCAAAGCAAATTAACAGAGCAGGCCAAAGACTTTTCCTGGACCAGAACAAAACAACCCAACACTGAATGTGCAGGGAGATCCGTGGAAACCGATTGAGAAATACTAGTAAAACACCTCCTGAATGTTAGTCAGTAACTATGCTAAAACAAATACAGCGCAACTAATCATTTAAACAGGGAAGGCAAATAATAATAATAAATGGGCATGTCCGCTTTTAAAAAGGACAACAAAATCAGTGCAATAATATGAGTTGTTGATGTTAAAGACACCCACATAAACTCAAGAGTAATTGGACTGTCATTTGATTCTCATGATTCATTAATTTAATGAACCATTTAAAAAGATTTACAGACTCTAACTGAATTATTTTATTACTTCATTAAACCTCAAAGGAATGATGTCTCGTTAATCAATCATTTTTGTTTTGAGATGCTGCAACGGCTTTACGTTATATATGATCCTAAAATAACTATGGAGTAAGTCTAGGGCATATATACTTATATAGTCACATATACTTGCAAAATACAAGAAAGTTTTGCAAACAAAAAATAAAATATTGATTAGTAAATAAATATAGTAATAGTATTTATTAATAGTAAATAAATAAATGCAAATCTCCAATAGTGGCAAAGCAAAAATCATTTTTGGAGAAATTAAACGTTGATTTTGCTGACGAAAATAAAGAACTGCAAATGGAAAATTAAGTTTTCAGAAATAAAAATGACATTTGCAAACAATAATAAAAGTGGGAGAGAGCGCTTTTTCCTTTGATCTCGTTTTTCGTTGTTTTTGCTTAAATTTCATTTGGGTAAAATTATTTTGCATTACTTTTGCCTACTTTAAGAAATTTTGTGAGTTTTGTTCATTTTTATTTCGATTGATTTGTATGTTATTTTTTGGCTCGGCTCTTTCCCATCATTTTGAGCTACCTTCTGAAGTTCACTCTTTTCTGGATAGGGATGTCGTACGACTTCGATTTTGCAAACACGTAGAAGATGTAAGGTTAAAGACATCAGGTAAAAGGTAAAGGTCATCTTTGTATTTATTTTATTTTATTTTATTTTATGACAGTTCAGAACAGGAAAGAATGGGGCGCACGGCGCTGAAGGACTTTTTTTATTTTCATCAGTTTTAGTGAGGTTATTCATAAATTTGAATTTTGTTATGATACTTTGTTTAAATTTGCTACTTCATTATATTATTTTTACTAGTGTATATTTTTATTTTGGACATTATTCTGGTTTCACTTTTGTACATTAAATCACTTTTGTTAGCAGTTCTGTTGTCAAACTTTTGCTTACACCCTCACATTGTGAAATTACCATAATAATCCTTATAAGTAAGTTTCGTGAAAGTTACGACAGATAGGCGTGCGCTTTGTCTATGACACGAATTCCATTCCTGTACTCCAGTGGAAAACCAAAAAGATAAAAATCTCCAATGACTCCCTGTTCTGAACTGCAGTTCCGGGTCAAAAATAATGCCAATTCAACGCACACATTGTGATATCCATGCTAAAACGTGTATTATCATATATATTGTTGTATTTTATTATAAATATACTGTGCAGCCCTAGATTGAACATAAAAAAATTAAGTTGTCCCAACAGATAAAAATAAAAAAAATGTTGTTTCAGCTCATTTTAAATACGCATTTGAACAAACAGTCAGCAAATATCATGTTTAGAGTGATGAATGCAGAGTTTAAGATGCACATTTACAACAGATATTACAATAAACATTTGCTACTCATGTTCCCCTGTAGCAAAACTCTATTGTAACATAAAACCCTTAAAGACACAACAGCGAAAACATCCTACTAATCAGCAACGTGTTCAAATAAAACCGTTTTTGGCAGGACACATCCTTGACTACATTTAAAGTTCATTTTAACAGGTCAAAACACAACTTTTCCCCGCATCAATAAACAAATGTTCCCAGTTGTGCTCAGTGGCCAGTTGGTCGGGTATCTCTGTCTTTTTGTGTTGGAGGATAATGGGAAATGTAGGCCGTCAGATGGAGCCGGTGGTGTCGAGTTGCCGTTTAGGTGTATGGCAGTGGTGTTGTGTGTCTGGGAGAATGTGGGTCATTTGAAGTGGTGGATCTAAAGTGTGTTGTTTAGCCGTAAATGAGGCCTTCTCATTGTGACACACTGAAAAGAGGCAGAAGAAAGAAGGGGTGCCTCAGGGACTGAGTAAAGTGCTCGTCTGAAGTAGAAGACCCCTGATCTGCATGCGCGTACACACACACATACACACAATGACCCCCAAATATCTCTTCTTTTCTCCCATTTGACTCACTCACCCACATACAGAGAGAATGAATAGCAACTGCCCGATCGCACTTCTTTTTTTCTCTTAAGGCAAGACACTGTAAGCAAAAACCCATTTTTTTTTTAGTGTAATGAGAAAAAAACATCCAAAAAGTGCACTTTTAAGTGATTCTTACATGTTCAAACATAATTATGGTGGCTTGAGAAAACCAACATACTGTTATACTACATAATATACTACTTACTATTCTTCCATCTTCTTCTTCATCTATTTTAAGAACGCATCTCCTCCTAGACTGTTCATACTACAACCACCAAACTATACTGAATTAAGTTGCTATATATTTTCCAACTGATCCGACTAGCGGTTTTCCAAAAACTGACCAGGAATATTCAGAAAAGTCCAGTAGACTTACTATTGGACCAAACTTTGTGACCTCATAACTTTGCGCCAGCCTGTCATACAGACTTAAGGTTGGGCTCATTTATCTCCGACTACTAATTTTCCAATCACTGATGAATTTTCAACTTACTAGCCACACCCTAGCAACTACTTACGGCACGCTAGCAACTGTCCCATAGATTTCCATTATAGAAGTTGCCATTGACTTTGCATTGGACATACTAACAACACACTAATCCATACTAACTCTTTTTTTGGAGAATCGAGACAATTCTGTTTTTCAAATTAATCATTTAGGTTAAAACACATTAACTAAAACAGTCTGAATCAGCATTCATTGAATGACAGAGCAGGGTCGGCCCGTGGCATAGGTAGTAAAGGCAAATGTTAAGGGCGCTGTACATCCAGGGGGGCGGCAGAAATGAGCATGGTTAAGTTGGTTTTGTTTTCAATATTCCTGACACATTCAGTGATAGACGGCAATAACTCAAAAACCTCTTGCCTTAAAAACATCTAAAGTATGTTTCCTACAAAAAGACAAAGCTGGTTATGTTTCACTGCTGTCTTTTTCTT